TGTCGTGCATCCACAGATGCATCACGAGCAGGGCCAACGAGGTGATCCTCCCCCTGTATGAGACACTGGTCAGGCTGCAGTTGTAGTACTGTGTCCTGTTCTGCGCACCACACTTCAGGAGGGATGTGGACAACATTGAAAGGGTCCAAAGGAGGGCCACCTGCATGATCAGGGGCAGCAAGGCAGGCCCTACAAGCGGAGGCTATGGGACCTGAACCTGTTCAGCTTTCACAAGAGAAGGCTGAGAGGGGAACTGGTTGCCATCTATAAACTTACTAGGGGGAACCATCGGGAAATGGGAGGGACCATGTTTCCCTGAGCGCCTCCCGGAGTAACAAGGAATAACGGCCATGAGTTGTTAGGGAGTAGGTTCAGACTAGACATTAGAAGGCGCTACTTCACTGTCAGGACAGCTAGGATCTGGAACCAACTTCCAAGGGAAGTGGTGCTGGCTCCTACCATGGGGGTCTTTAAGAGGAGGCTGGACAGTTACCTAGCTGGGGTCATTTGAGCCCAGTTTTCTGTCCTGCCCAGGGCAGTGGGTCGGACTAGAGGATCTGCAAGGTCGCTTTCAACCCTATGTCTATGAATCTTTCTTAAAGATGGATGCTGTATTTACCCTTTTCCAATCATCTGGTACTTCTCTCAACCACCACAAGTTTTCCAAGATAATGGCCAGCAGCTCTGCAGTCACATGGGCCAACTCCCTCAGCACCCTTGGATGTATCCCATTTGGCCCCATGGACTTGTACACATTCAGTTTTTCTAAATAGTCCCTAACCTGTTCTTTCACAATTGTTGGCTGCTCATCTGCTCCCCAAACAGTGCTGCCAGGTGCAATAGTCTGGGAGCTGATCTTGCTTGTGAAGATTGAGGTGAAAAGGGCATTGAGTACTTCTGCCATTTTTGCATCATCTATCACTAGGTTGCTTCCTACATTCAGTAAGGGACATACATTTTCCCTGATCTTTTGCTGACATACTTGTAGAAACCCTTCTTGTTACCCTTACTGTCTCTTGCTAGTTCCAACTCCAATTGCACTTTGGTCTTCTTGATTTCATTCCTGCATGCACGAGCAATACTCTTATACTCCTCCCTTGTTTGTCCTAATTTCCACTTCTAGTCAGCTTCCTTTTTGTATTCTGTCTCACTGAAGAGTTCCCTGGTAAGCAAAACTGGTGTTCTGGCATAGTTTCTGGTTTTCCTGCGCATCAGGATAGTTTGTTCCTGCACCCTCAGTAAGGTTTCTTTAAAATATGACCAGCTCTCCTGGACTCCTTTCCCCCTTAGACTGGTCTTGCAGGGGATCCTGCCCATTGGTCCCCTGCATGAGTAAGAAAACTGCTTTTCTGAAGTCCAGGGTCCTGCTCTGCTGCTCTCCTTCCTTTCCTTTCCCCAGGATCCTAAACTCAATTGTCTCTTGGTAGCTGCTGCCCAAGTTGTTGTCCACTGCTACACCCCCCACCAATTCTTCCGTGTTTGTAAGCAGCAGGTCTAGAAGAGCATGGCCCCTGGTTGACCTCTCCAACACTTGCACCAGGAAGTTGTCCCCAGCACTCTCCAAACATTTCCTGGATTGCCTGTGCACTGCTGTGTTGCCCTCCTAGCAGATGTCAGGGTGATTGAAGTCCCTCGTGAGAACCAGGGTCTGTGATCAGGAAACTTCCACTAGTTGTCTGAAGAAAACCTCATCTACCTCATCCTCCTGGTCTAGTGGTCTATAGCAGACCCCCACCACTATAACCCTTGGTGCTTTTCCCTCTGACCCTAACCCAGAGATTTTCAACAGGCTTGCCTCCGGTTTCATATTGGAGCTCTGAGTGATTATACAGCTTTTTTATGTAAAAGGCAACTCCTCCTCCTCTTCTCCCTTGCCTATCTTACCTGAACAGTTTGTGCTCATCCATGATAGTTCTTCAGTGTTGTGAGCTATCCCACCAAGACTGTTACTGGAATCACATCATAGTTCTGGCACTGTGTGAGGACTTAGTTTCTCCTGCTTACTTCCCAGGCTGTTGTATTTGTGTACCTAAGGAAACTAGCCAATTGCCCATTGTCTCAAGAAGAATGAGGCCTCCCATGTTGCCCCCTCCTGCTTGTGCTTCCTCCAAGTCACTCACTTCCCCACTTACCTCAAGGCTTTAGTCTCCATCCCCCAGTGAACCTAGTTTAAAGAAGAGCCTGTCTGCGAACATGCTCTTCCCTCTTTGTCAGGGGGATCTAATTTCTTCATAGCAATCCTTCTTCTTGGAAAAATATCCCAGGGTAGAAGAAGCCAAAGCCCTGCTGGCAACACCATCTGTGCAGCCACGCATTGATCTGTAGGAAGCCAGAGTTATGGAGAAAGAGAAGACTTTGGGGAGTGAATTTGATAACTGTCTTCAAATACTTGAAGGATGATTATGTAGATGTTGGAGGTGAGCTTTTCTCTGTGGCCATAGGGAACAGGACTAGGAGCAATGACTGCAAGCTTCTGGAGAGGAAATTTAGGTTGAAGATTAGGAAGATCTTTTTGACTATGAGGGTGGTCAAGCCTTAGAACAGGCTACCTTGAGAAGCTGTGGAATATCCATTCCTGGAAATTTTCAAGAACAGGTTGGACAGACACTTGGCTGCGATGGTTTAGTTGGAGATGGTCTTCCCTTGGGTTGGATTAGATGACGTTATGACGTTCCTTCCAGGCCAGTTTCCTATGATCCTTTGAATAGATTCGTGTTAAATGTAGATAGCAAGGATCAGAACAATGTAACCTCTCATTCTTTTCCAAACATAAAGGCCCATGTGCAAAACAACTACTTTTAAGAATTATTCTGATAAATAATTTCAAAGTCAAGCATCTGGAAATTTCTAAAGCTGAGAAGTCTATTCTAACAACACTCCTTCAGCCTGTTATAGTATCTAGACATAATCAGATAATACTGGGGGGGTTTCATGTAAACTGCACTTCAGTACACAAAATGTATAGTGCTTTGGGAACACGGCAGCTGTTCAGTATTCTTTTAATCATGAGCATTAATGGTGTACCCTCGTGTCTTAGTCATAATTCAAATAGTTTCAGTCGCACCTGGGAACCCTCATTTTTTCCATAAACAAGATCCCTAGGTCTAAAATTGGGCACCCAACAATGAGAAGCATTTGTTAGTAAACACTTAACAAAAAGTTTTTGTGAGTGACTTGCCCAACCTCACTTAAGTACTTTGTGATAGAGCCAGGAAAGGTGAATGCCATATAAGAAATATTTTTGGCTTTAACCATCAACTAGCTTCTCTGCTTGTATCCCTTATCTTTGTTCTTTGATCTAAATTTCTAGATCAAATAATACAGGGCTTCTATGAACTGTATAATTCACTAGACAGCACTTAAGTTACAGTCTGTCCTGCGTGCCGGGTGAGGTAGGTTAGGAGTCTGGTCAGAAATAATGATTTTACTGTAATACATGTGGGCAAGGGAGCAGATTGAAAGTAGTATAAACAATGGTGTTTTTTTAAGTTTCTGCTGTTTGGCTTTATAATGCAAGTATATTAGAAGGAACTTAACTTCTTACATGTTCCCTATTTATTTAAAGAAAAAAGAGTAAAACATATCGTCTAATGATTCAGCTGTATGAACCCCCATTATGTAGTATAAACAGAGTTTGAATTTTTAGCACTAAAGCAGATTGATACTAGGTGAACTGCAGAATTAGGTGAATTATAAGACTGCTTTAGTTGGCAGTAGGAAAATACTTATTCCTCAGATAAATGTAGGAGAAAAAGGGAGAACTTGACTGACTGTTGGGGTGCTAGGGTCAGTGAGTAGGCTCTCAGGAAATGCCAGTTAAATATTCTTCAACATGCAACCCAAGAGTCTACCTGTTCCTGTGATTCCGCAGTGCAGCATTTGCTTCTGCTGCTGTGGTAATGTGCAATCAGCATTGTAGTAAAAGCTGCTTTTCGGTTGTGTTGGCTAGCTGCCAACAGTTTGCTGATTGCTCAAGCAACCAAAGGAAAATAATAGCTTTGTAAAACTTAACTCAGGCAAATCTGCACAGAAATTCAAGGGATTAAAGAAAAGCAATTCTATGGCTCCAGGGCTTTTTTCCTGTCTAATTTCAAAGGCCTGTTGCAAACAGTGGAGACATTATATTGGCTTAGAGAAAAGGCCACAAGAATCATATATGGTATAAAATGTCAAGTGGTTTACACTTGAAGCTTCTGATGCAGGGTGCACAATTTAAATTATGTACAGTAATGTTGTTAGAAAAAGATATGACAATTTATATTTATCTCATGGATTTGTGTCCAGTAGTCATATTTATAGCAAGTAATATTGTTAGCACAGTTCCTTATGGGAATCCCTTTTTGGCAGCTTAATTAACTTGTTTTTTCCTTTGCCATTCCAAAGGACTTGAAAGTTGAATAGCATGGAGGGTGGTTGAAATTTCTTTATACTTCCATGACAAATATTTATTTGGCTTTAACAGTTCAGTGCCATTTACAAGCAGGGATGGAATTTTGGCATTGTCCTGTCTGAAAGGATATTCTGCAGAAATATCGTTATTTTTTGCTGGCTGTGTAGTCCTGCATAAAAGTTCACAAATGTTGTACAGCAGTATCAACAGCAACACAATGTAGTGAGAAGTGACAAATACAATAATAGTAGTGGGAAAGCAAAACCAAGGACTTATCAGATCAACCCAAAGCTTCTTGCCTGTAGTGTATTCACAGCCTTAACTATGCATGAGCATTACAGTAAGAGATCTGTTCAACAACTGTTCAAAGTGAAAGTTGTGTAGACAGGACAAAGAGAAGTTCACAAACTGCTTAAATGTTTGTTCCTGTGGTGAAGAAAAGAGGGGAGTAACTTCCTAAAGGGCACAGATCTTTGACAAAGTTGGGAATGGAGCCCAGAATAAATTTCCTAGGTTTTAACCAAAAGCCTATCCTACTTATGTGGTGGGAGCTGAAAGCTTTTGAGAGCTCTGTCTCTGAATATTGATGTAAATCTCATTTCCATCCTAGGTAAAAAATAAGAAGCTGGTTGAGTTGCTGAGGAGGAAGGTTCGCCTTGCTCAGCCTTATGCTGGTGTCTTTCTAAAGAAAGATGACAAGTAAGTATCCATCTCTCTGTAAGTGTACGGTCTCGCTACTACTTAGGCTTGTCTGCATCAAGAAAGATGAGGCCCAAACTTGTTAACCAGAAGTGACATTGGTAGCAACAGAAAGGTTTGAAAAAGCCATAATTGCAAAATATAAGTGAATATCAGGTCTGTGTGCTAGTTGCTTTGTTCACAGCATTATTTAAGTTTCTTTCAAACAGACTTCAAAGACAAGGAATGTGAGGCGTCCCAGAATAAATGTGTCTGAGCAAGATTCTGAACATTTACTTTTAAATATTTTTATCAGCAATGAATCTGATGTGGTAGAAAACCTGAATGAGATCTACCAAACAGGAACTTTTGTTCAGATCCATGAAATGCAGGACCTTGGAGACAAGCTGCGAATGATTGTCATGGGGCATCGAAGGTAAAAATATCTTCTACACAATTTAGATATTTTACCAGACTCTTCATGAGCAGGCACATCCATTAAGCTTTTGTCACTCTGTATACACTAATATGTGTACAATGTTCAGAGAAAGAGGCTGTGGGTTGCAATCTCTTGGGTTTCCCTTGGTCAGGGGTGGAAGCAGTTCATGAGGGGGATATATTTGTAGGGTCATAGATATGTGTGGTACTTCAGATGAATGTCAGATAAGTTTCTATCTGGAGTAGGGATGTAAAAGGTTAAACAGTAATTATACGTATACCATTTAATTATTATACCATATAATGTTTACCTCCCGGCTTTGGTGCTGTCCACTGTTGGGGGAGAAGCTCTGGAAGGGGCTGCCCAGGAGGCAGTGTGGATCTGGGCTGCAGCATCATTCGGCTGCTGTAGTAGGGATGTAACTAGTGGTTACCTGGGGGAACAGAGCTGGGCAACGTTGAATGGTGGAGCCAGCAGGGCTTAAATAGGAGCGAGCACAGTGGTGGGTCTGCCATCAGGTGCTGCAGAGGCAGGCTGCACAAAGCCAGGTGCCCCGGCCCCCTCCCTCCCATAGCACCCAAAGGGGCTTCCACCTGCCAGGACAGCCACACTGTACCCAGGTGCCCACAAGTGCCTGGAGCCCCAGGAGGTGCCTCCCTCTTGCCCAGCCCCAGACTCCAGCAGCTGCTACTTGGCAAGGACCCACCTGGAGTCTGTTTTTCCAGGCCAGGGTCATGTGGCAGGCAGATATGTCACTCAGGATTGTGTTCAAGGCATCCATCTGTGGGCTGAGTGCCCCTTTTGCTAGGAGCCTCAGCACCAGGGCAAGTCCTCAGCCAAGTGGGAGGAGTGTGGCACTGGCCCAGCTGCTGGCTGCATCTAGACAGGGAAAGGAGTGGCGCGGCAGTGGGAAACACGGAGCCAGGGACCCTGCCAGACCCTGCCACCCCATGCTGCTGCTACTGGCACCACTGCCTGCTCCTGCACACTCACCACATATGGCTGTGGCCACGATCTTCAGTCCCGAATGGTAGCAGAACTCATTGCAGTCCCACATATCACCCTTGGCCCTGGCTCCCCACACTGCCCTGCCCCTCTGCTCTGGGACCATTTAACCAATATAATAAGAGGAGGTTAAACAGGTAATTTTTAAAATGATATTTACATCCCTAGTTTAAAAACTAATTCCACTTTCTTGTAGAGCAGGAACTTACAGAAGCTAAATCAGTAGCCAGTGTACTCTTTCATGCTTCAGTTTATTTTTCTAGAACTTGTTTGGCAAATCCCATTTTTATCTAGCAGCTAGTCGCAGTGTATTTTCAAAAGAGTAAAACCTGAATCTCACCAAAATATAATCCAGGCTTTTTGTCACATTAGTTATAGTGAAAAAGCAACTGAAAACAACTCTCCCTTTACCCATTTTAGAGCTGCAGCCATGTGTACCAGTGTTTGGCTTGCAAAGTTGTTAACAGCTCTCTCTCCTTTGCCTTCAGAATTTGTATAAATAAGCAACTAGAGATTGAGCCTGAGGAACATGAGGCTGAAAATAAGCACAAAGCAAGAAGGAAGATGAAGCGCTCTAAGAAAGAGACTGAAGAAGAGTCTGATATGAAGGACCAAACTACAGAGCTGGTCCTCGAGCCTGTGGGACACTCATCACCAGAAGTGCTTATGGTAGAAGTGGATAATGTTGTTCACGAAGATTTCCAGGTCACAGAAGAAGTCAAAGTGAGTGACAGAATTGTGTAAGGAAGGTGAATGATGTGAGAATGTATATCCAAACCTGAGGTTTCCCAGTAGGAGAACATCCAGACTGTCTTGTTAAAATGAAAGGATAGTATAATTATAGAACTTCCAACTGGAGAATGTGGAAAATGCATGGTTCTCAGTCATAATCTTCATATAATCCTATTGTAATAATTCTTCTGATAACAACAGCTCAGTTCAGAGTGTCTTAGGTCCCTATTTAACTGACTTGGATTGTGCTGCATTTATTAATATTTTGTGTCCTGTAGGGTGTTGTTCTAAGGTGGCTGACTAAAAGATGACCATAGTTTTCTTCAAGGGTTCTGTTTAAAGGACTAGCCTAGAATTCTGTGTATAGTGTAGTCCAGTTTATAGCCTCTCTCTCCTTTCATCCAAGTACAGTCAGTGGGGCAGAGAGAATATCCATAGTAACAGTAGCTAAAATTAGATGGGACTCCAGGCTAGTCTTCAGTCTGAGTGTCCATTATCAAGGGAAGGGGGTGAGAGCAGGTGATATTCTGAGCTCCAGTGTGGGAGGAATGTTCTACTAACCCTGATGTTTTGCAGGGTTAAGATTCTTATCCTATATGACAAAGATGAGGACTTGTAAACTAGCCAGACATGTACATAATCATAGCAAACCACTGTGCAGGACCACTGAGATGCTTCAGTTGTTTGCCGTGGAAAAAAAACACCTCTGAAATAAGGGTCAATCAGCTGCATGAGGTAATTTAGGATCTCCAGCCATGCAGCTCTCATAATATAGCAACCCACTGTGAATTAAGTGGGTTGTAAACCACCCAGATATGAATGATCCAAGTTCTGCTTTATTAGTGTAGTAAAAGCTTCTTATTTTTTAAACTTTGTTATGTTGTTTAATAGGCACTTACTGCAGAAATTGTCAAAACAATTCGGGACATCATTGCCTTGAACCCTCTCTATAGGTATGTATGTCCTACCCAATTCTAGGTCTGTCTTTCAGCAGTTCTTAGTCATGATCAGGCATTTTGGGCCACAGCCTAAGCAGCAAGGAGTAGTAGCTGGGATAAGATTTTGCTTCAGAATTACAAGTTGATTTGTTGAAAAAGATGATGATGAAGAGCAACTTTGAAAACATGGCAAATGGTCCAAGTACATAAGTTTGATTGGATTTAGCTCAGAAGGTAACTTGACTAGTGGATGCAAGTGTTAGCCTTACTAAGCTGCGGCACTGAGTGTGCACCACTTACGTAGATCCTCCCTGCATTAACTCTGGTTTCAGCCACCAATAATTTCTCACTTTATTTAGTAAACTAAGGAGATTTGTTTCCTCAATATATTACAACTAGACAGGAGAAAAAAATCTCAGCTCAGAATTTCAGAGTCAAATTTTTTCTAATTCAGCTTAATCAGCTTAATTGATTCCTAACTTCTATTTCCTCTAAGGCATCCAATAATTAAAGGAAATATTCTCTTAGTACAAATGTTTTGATTTTTGATTCTGATTGATCTTTTCAGGGAATCTGTGCTTCAGATGATGCAGGCAGGGCAAAGAGTGGTAGATAACCCAATCTATCTGAGTGACATGGGAGCAGCACTAACAGGGGCAGAGTCTCATGAATTGCAGGACATCCTGGAGGAAACTAATGTAAGATGAAACTTAAATCATTTATATAATTTAGATTTTTATTTCAAACAGATACATTGTCCTCTGTGTAGAGGATGTAAGCATTGTTTAAGGAGAGCAGTTGACTTCAAGAGACGATGGAGTGTGTGTGTATGTCTACTAAGGATTAAATTTGAATAACAAGTCTACGCGTTTTATAACATATAAATGTTTCATAGAATATGTAGTGATCCAACACAAAGCCAAGCTAGGTATTAGGTATTAAAAGATTCATTTTAATTACTTTTTGTATCTTTTCGGATAGGAGGATCACTGCAGGATGGCTTTATCTCTGACAACTTGTCCCTTTTTGGCAAACGCTAAATTATTTCTTGAGAGCTGCAAAACTCTAGATCTCTTGGTTCAGAGATTATACCTTTTATTAGACCAAGCTTTTGGGCACATGCGCCCTTCCTCAGGCTCAGAGAAAATTTAAGATGGTAAAAAGTCCCCATAGGTAGAAAATAAACGTCATTTTTGCACAGAGGAAGCTGAAGGTGGAAGTCTGTTCCTCTGGGTCTATGCAAGTTGCTCTGATGTGCAGATAAGGCAGGATTCCTTCTCTGGTGGTGTCAGATGGCAAAAAGGCAGGGAGGTGTAGAAATCTTTTTTATTGTTCAACAATGAAGTTTAAATCCAAAATTGTCTGATTTCTTAGTTCGTCTAATAAAAGGTATCATCTCTGAACCAAGAGTTCTAGAGTTTTGCATTTCTTTTTGTCTCAGACCAGCACAGCTACGTAATAAATCTCTTCAGAGTTAAAATCTTTATCTTCTTTGTTCTAGCTGAATGACATTAGAACCAGAAAGAGGTAACTTGCATTCTAATATGTAGGAGGCTTATATTTCACATGATTTGATGGGAAAGTAGTCTCCATATTGCTAGTCTGTGAGTAGGAAGATTTTCTCAACCTTCCCAGAACTGTAGATGCTGAAAAGTTTCCACAAGTTTCTTGTATGAACCTACCACCATCCAATAATCCTTACTACTTTTGATTTTGGGCCATACGCTGTTTTGCCAAGTGGCAGCTGTAGTGTGTGCAGTGTAAAAACTTATGTTGCCTCTTTCCAGATTCCTAAACGGCTGTATAAAGCCCTCTCTCTCCTGAAAAAAGAATTTGAGCTGAGCAAACTTCAGCAACGCCTTGGACGAGAGGTGAGACTTTAAAAGGATGGTACATATATTCTCTTTCAAGTTTTATCACTCATATCTGAGGATCAATAGCATACAATTATGTAACATGGGCATACACTCTCAAAAGAAAAAAAATGTTTATTACAATAATACAGGCTCAAATTCTGAATTGTTAGTAGATTTCTCAATTTTGTTTTTAAGAATCATATCAACACTGCCATTTATAACTAGCACTTTATCAAATGTGTAGGTTACACATATTATTTCCTAGTAATAATTTGCGTGCAGCTTAATTTCTCTTGTATGTGTGTGTGTTTTGGAAAGTAGTAAAATCCTAATAATCATAGAGTGTAGGCTGGAAGGGACCTCAGAAGATCATCAGGTCCAGCCCCTGGAAAGCAGGAAAGACAACTGGGGTCAACTGACCCCCAGCAAGGTGACTGTCCAGTCTCCTCTTGAAGATTTCTAGATTAGGCTATTGCACCACCCCTGGAGGGATCTTATTTCACAGTCTAGACACCCTAGCTGTGAAGAAATTCTTCCTAATGTTGAGCCTGAAACGGTCTTCCAGGAGTTTGTGGCCATTGCTCCTGGTTATCCCCAAGGGTGTCCTGGTGAACAGTTCACCAAGCCCCTGATGTACTCTCCTGATGTAGCAGTAAGCTGCTGCCAAGTCCCCTCTCAGCCTTCTCTTCTTCAGGCTGAAGAGTAATCATATAAAACCTCGTCACATAATATTGGCTGGGAATTGGAAGTAGACATAGTATATGTGAAAAGAAGAGGGTTGAAATTTTAACAAGTATTTTATTTGCAAAATAACACATTTTCCTTATAAGAAAAATAGAAGGTTGCTCAAAACCACAGAAACTGGTGACAAAGCAATAGAATTCAGGGGTCCTGGCTGAAAGATTTCTGCTCCAGCTTTTAGATAACGCATAACACCTCTTCTTACCTACACAGGCTCTTGGATTTGTCTAGCACACATAAGAATTTAATATTTGGTATGCATGCTGTGCCTTTGAAGTTAGTTGACTCACATCCCATTTTGAAAATGTTTATCATACTCCAATTTAAACCTACCACAATCAAAAATAACGGTCACAAGCTGGCAGAGGGTAGATTCAGACTAGACATCAGGAGACACTACTTCACTGTCAGGGCAGCTAGGATCTGGAACCAACTTCCAAGCAAAGTGGTGCTGGCTCCTACCCTGGGGGTCTTTAAGAGGAGGCTAGACAAACACCTTGCTGCCAGCACAACCGAGCCACTGCCCCCCTACACTCCCAGGCCCGTGAAGAAACTTAAATCATTTTCAGAGTTCTGTAAGTAGGGACCTACTTAATTCCTAGTTTCACAAATTTTGCAGAAACTGAAATCAGCAAAAAACCCCAAAACTTAATATAAATAAAATACTGGCTCCTCCTTGCCACCAGGAGGAGAAGGCGCAAGCTGATGGGGGCAGCACAAAGAGCAGCAGACAAGATGGCAGCTGCTCCCTTGTCCTTGCTCCCTGCCAAGGCCTCTCTGCCAATCCACGCCGAGGGGTGGGGCCACACAAAGGGCAGCCAGAAATCTAGATGGCTGCTACACCCTCATCCCTCCTTCCCATGGGGCCTCTTCGCCAGTCAACATCAGGGTGGGGTTTATCTGCCAATCAGCACTGGGAGGCAAGGCGGCAACAATATGACTGTGAAATTAGAACTTTACACCACAATCAACTCACAAAAATTGGTACGTTCCCCTGTTATTTAGGTAGACCCTACCCATAAGATCCTACAAAAAAAACATGACAATAACAGACTTCAAAAGATCTGATTCAAACCATGTAATATGCATCTACTAATATAAGTTGCATATCTGATAGTCCTGGTAACTTTTTACTACTCCTCCTTGCGGCAGGGTGGGAGTGGAGGAGGAGAGACTTTTTTTGACTTTTTAAACCTTAAGTGTAAGGGTATGTAGCCCTCCCCAGGGCCACACATGAAACACTTGTTATCAACAAAAAATGCTGGGTCACCAGAGATTGAAACTATCTTCCCACATGCCCCTCAAGGGATGACATGTAGGAACAGCTGTCTTTTTCCATCTCGTAGAGTGGCCCTTTGATGGTCCAGTGCAACACAAATAGGTCCACATTTTGTTGCAAGGTGAAGTGTTTACAGTCAAACGTGAACTGTGCATGGACTACGAAGTGGAAGAATTGTAGGGCATCATCAGAGCTGACCTCCCGTGAGCGGGTTTTTCAGGGCTTTTCAGGGTTGCCAACATGGTCTGGCCCAGTAGGGAATTGGCCAGGCAGATCATATTCCCCTTGGTCACTCTATGGGCTAGAGAAGATGTGCACAGTCTCAGGGAAATCCAAATCCAGTGTGCCAAAGAGGGTGCAGCAAAGAGCAGCTGCAATTGTGGGCAGTTGAAGAAGGTATGGAAGAGAGTCTCCTCCACTTCCTTCTTGCCAGAAGGTCAGGCTACCAGTGATGCCAAGTCGAAGTGGCAGACAAACATGTCTATGGCCAGAGCCCCGTGCAATAGTTGCCACTGGCAACTATTCTCTTAGAATAGAGTTCTCTTAGTGCTGGGTAGCTTGTACAGTTCTCTTAGTGCTGGGTAGCTTGTACAGGGTGTGCCAGGCTAGGCAGGCTTCCTTTGGTGTTGCTGCCACCAGGCAATGCCTTCAAGTCATGTCAGGGCAGGCAACGAGGACATGGGCATGAGGCACTCTGATTGTCCATGTGTAAAGTGCCTTCCCAGACAGCATCTCAAGGCAGAGCCCACCATGGTTCTTGCTGTGCACGAAATGGTTCCTGCCATTCTCATTGCTGTCTGTCCACAGCTGCAGAAATAGGCAGCAGTAGAGGGGGTCTTTCTAGCAAGCTGCCATCATGGAGGTCTTATTATATACAGAGGTGGCCTCCTACAGTGGCAAGTGGATTCCTGGGGAGGACAGCTTTCACTTCAGCCAAGAGGCACAAAGCAAAATGGACAGAGTGCAGACCCAGGCAGTCAGCCTGGGCTTTGCCAGGCACACCAAGCCAAGTCAGAAGGGTGGGTTAGCTTGATGGTGTGTGAACAGACTAAGGAAACAATGAGGCTTTCAGAGCTGAAACTCAGTGCCCCCTGCTGCAAGGCCAAGCTGTGGGTCAGGGGCTTTCACAGCAGCTCCGGAAATTGCAGGTTTCTGCCCTAGGGTCTCAGTCAGAGGTAGACCTGCTAGACCCAGGCAAGGGCAGAAGGACATCCCAGCCAAGGTAATCAGGATCCAATAGGAAAAAAACATTCCGGTTAAGTTCCCCCACCCAAGAGCAAGAGTGAGTGCGAGGGAGGCTGGACAAGAAACAGCTGTGAGCCTCCTTCAGTTCTCACTATACTGCTACCCAGGGGAAATCCAAACCTGCTATTCTCTTCAGCAACCCTTAAATGATTCTTTTTTTCCCCAACTTGATGAAGAAATCTAATCTGTTTTTCTGATTCAAGGATGTTCCTAAAAGGGCACCAATATAACAAAGCAAGACACTTCATGCCTGTTACCGTGCCTCATAGCAGGATACGTGATGCCTATTCCAATGGTTCTGCTTTAACTCCTGCAGGGGTCATAGAAGTCAGTCTTCTTTGGGCACCAGGTTTAACTTTGAAGCCTTATGCTTGCTTGTAGTGACAAAATACCAGAAGTTATTCAGCACTTAAAATTACTTTAGGTAAAAGGAGAGTTACTTTTCTTTTCACACATCTTGCACAAGTACAAGGATGAAATGAATGAGCTTTGAGGATAGGTTGTGAGAACATTACTGCAAATGGTCTCTTATAACAGAGGACCTGTACTTTGAGGGAATGGAACTGTTCAGTCAGAGGTCAAATGAACCGCTCCATTGTTATGTTCCCTGGGAATTTAATGAATAGCTCCTGCCAGGAGGCCCTATAGTTACTAGCCTCAAAACGTGTAGAAGGCACCATTTTACTATAGACACTAACACAGTACCAACGAAAACTTGATTTTTTTTCTTTAGATTGCTTTTCTGCTGCTTCCTTAACCAATCCATTATCTCAGAGGCAGAAGATTTGACACAAGTGTTAAACTCTGCTACAACTCTACAACTTCTGTTTGTCCTCCCCTATTTATTTGTTTATTATTTATATGCTGCCCTTCCCAGCAAAGGCTCAGAGCAGCTTACAATAAGGGAACAGAACAATTTACAATAAGGGAACAGAACATAGGAGAGCAACAAGAGGAAAGTTATCAACTAAAGAACAAAACATAAAAGCGGAATAAAACAGAGACCAACATAAGCAATATCTCAGGATAGCTTTGTTTGCTATATGCTTACTTAAATAGAAAGGTGTTACAGCACTTCCAGAAGATGTCCGAGTTTAAACTCTGGTTTCAGAGCTGGGGAGCAGCTGCCAAGAGTGGCCTCTGTTGCATTTTCATCAGGTGGACTTAACATGCTGATGGTATTTCTTGCAGGAGGTTGCTCTTTGCTGACTTGAGGGATTGTGATGAGGTGTAAGGGAGAAAGCTGTCCTTGGGTATGTAGGGCTCAGACTGTTTAGGGCAGGAGTGTCAAACATATGGCCTGTGGGCCAGATCTGGCCTGGTGCTGCTCCTGGACCTGATCAGACTCACATAGGGCACAACATGCCCCTGGTTTAGGGCTTTATAGTCCAAACCAGCACCGGATTTCACCTGGAAAGCTGTTGGGAGCGAGTGCAAACTCTGGACCAGTGGAGTTACGTGCCCCTAGTGATCCAGGCCAGAAAATTTCACTGTTGCCCCTGTATCAAACTCTGGAACTTGAGTTAGACCAGTGATTCCCTAGCCTTCACTGTTCCTGGAATATATCTTATACTTTGTTATCCTTGTCAACCTGTTTTATCTCTGTAATTTCCTGTGGCCATGATCCATGTTAAAGGGCCTTGTAGACAACATGTTGTCTGTGAGCCATGGATTAGTGATCACTGTGTTAGGCTGAAGCCTGTAAAGCTTTCAGAGAATAAACTTTTGTCCCATGGAAACTAAAAGAGACTGAGGTGCCTGATGCTGTACACTGACTGAGTGCTGAAGGTCCTTGTAGTAGCTGGGGATTAATTAGGTTATAGATGCCCTGATAATCCTAACTGGCAAACTATATGTCATGCTGCAGAGGAGAATGCAAATTCTGCTAAGATCCTTGCCAGTCTAATGTGGGGAAACGTTTTGCAAAATCCAGATCTAGTGATCAGTTGGACCCTGAGCATTTGAGAGGAGATTGCTAGCCAAACATCAAAGAGAATGTTCTCTGTACTATTTTACAACTTGGTCTATCTCATTGACATCCTGTCTCCAGCTATGGCCAATCTCTTATGCTTCAGAAAAAAAACATTCCTGAACTATGTATCAAGGGAAAATGTTCGTCTTTGGTGTCTGAACCTGAAGGGCCTTCTTTGGGATAAAGCTGAAGCCCTAAACCATGAGGTTTGACTTAAGTCATTGTCTTATTGCATGCTACACATGTTTTATGTATTCTGAGAGCAATGCAGGTAGTTTTGCCCAGGAAGGATTGAAATAGGGGGGAGGAGAAGGGGATACTTTGGAGAGATAGGGCTAAGACCCTACTAGCCCCCGTAGAGTCTCTCAGAAACTAAATTAAAGCATAGTTCTAGAAACTTTTTAAAGAATTCTAAATAGTAAGTTACTCTAATATTGAACTACCCTGACCTCTATAAAAACTCCATCTTAATTAAAGTGAATTTCTTAACTTCAATTTCTGTCCAGTAGCTTTTGTCAGCAAGCAATAGAAATCTTTAGGTAAGAAGGATGAAAAAAGTTTGATGTAGTTCATAATAACTAATGACTTTTTGCTTATCTTTGAGACAAAATTGCCTTCAAAGCACAAGGTCAGCACTTTTTCGTAAGCAAAAGTTCCCTAAAAAACACCACTGTTATTTGCTTGCCTCGGAAGGAAGGGCATTTGCATCTATCATTACCCAGATTTGACTGATCAAGGACAGATTTCAGCAGCAAACTGGAATTTAGTCTCGCCCTCATTTCCCTCAGCTAGGTTTTGTAGCAAGCTATAATAAGTCATCTCTTACTCTGTAATGGATAATAAAGGCTTTTATGAACTCTTTCAGCTTTAGGTTGGAGTCTGCCTCCCCAAAATGGATTCCTGTTGATGTAGTGTTCAGGGTAGAATCAAACCTGACTCTAATTATTTGGATGCGTCTGAAACTGGTAGTACCTACCTAAGCGTTACCTGTCTCAGGAGTATTTTCCTGCATACCCTGTGCCCCAAATAGCGTACACACATTGTTTTGGAAGGCATCATAAAAAATAAAAATTCCAGAGTTATGGCTGAGACCTGATCAGAGAGACAGAGTACAACTCTGGAGCATCAGCAAAAGTTGGTTTCAACCCTCTTATAGTCATTGCCAAATAGGCAGCAGCTTTTGACTGTAAAGCCAAAAGCTACTGCTAAGTTACCAGTGTTTGAAAAAGTTAACTCAGTAGCTCTTATCCCATCGTCCTGAAACAGTACTACTTGCCAGTTGTACACAGTGGTATTCTCTCTCTCTCTCTTTCTCAGAAGAAAGAGCAATTACTTACTCTTAAGTAACTGTGGTTCTTTGAGATCATAGTTTCAGTTCATACTCTATTCCTTCCTTCTGCTGCGCCTTTGGAGTCCTCATCTGTTATGTTTGTTAACAAGTCATGGCCATACAGACTAGATGAAAGTATTATAAAGAGGATAGATAATGGGTTAGCTCTTCTTAGTACAATATAGTAATTGCTCTTTCTTTTTAGTGTGTGTGTGTACACCACTGTGTACAACTGGCAAGCAGTACTGTCTCAGGATGATGGGATAAGAAGTTTCAGCTGCATCAGTTGAACTGGGACTGTAAGACTGCCTTCATTAGGCCTGGCATCATGCCAAGCTACTACAGACATAATACACTGTTTGGCAAATGTCAGTGGATTAATCCAAGTAGCTTCCTTTGTTATCTAACAGGCATACCGCATTTACTCATGTGAATAGCCATCGGTGGCTCAGTGCCTACTTGGAAGGAGGTATCAGGTGGGGTTCCCCAGGGGTTTGTCTTGGGTCCAGTAATATTTAATATCTTCATGAAGGATTAGGGACTGAGTGCATGCTTAGAAAATGTGCAGATGATACCAAGTTGGGTGGAGTTGCAGACACACTGGATCTAGGATCAAGAATCTCTTGGATAGGCTGGAGAAACGGTCTGCAGTCAACCAAGTGAAATTAAATAAAGACAAGTGCAAAGTCTCACACTTGGAACAGAATAATTACACACATGAACAAGAGACTGGGGAATGACAGGCTATGCTGTAGTACTGCAGCTGGGCCAGATTAGTTTCATAGTTTCTAGGGTCAGAAGGGACCTGAGATCATGTAGTCCGACCCCCTGCCATGGCAGGAAAGAGTACTGGGGTCAAACGACCCCAGCAAGGTGTTCATCTAACCTCTTCTTAAAAACCCCCAGGGTAGGAGCCTGCACCACCTCCCTTGGAAGCTGGTTCCAGACCCTAGCCGCCCTGACCGTGAAATAGCGCCTTCTGATGTCTAACCTAAACCTACCCTCTGCTAGCTTGTGACCGTTGTTCCTGGTCACTCCTGGCTGTGCTC